CTCTCTCTCTCTCTCTCTCTCTCTCTCTCTCTCTCTCTCTCTCTCTCAAAGTGCTCTAATTAATCAGCCTTAAATAGATGGACAGACCTACATTACTGACACAACTCCTACACCATGTACTATTTAATACACAGATGGCACCGCAGGCTGTGCTTCTCTGTGTGTGTTTCTGTTATACTGTAATCGCAGAAAAAGACAATATGGAGAAGTTGTAGCAATAGAGTTATTGTAACCATGGTAACCACTATAAATTATGTGTCACTGATGCATTATAGGGACGCTTTTTTCTCCAGGATTGAGTTATTAAACAGATTATTGCCAGTGGCATCACAGTACTTTTAAAAATAATACATCTTTATTTTTTCTATAGTTAATCCAATGAGTTTACTTTTCCAAATGAAAAGCAGGGTTTCTATCGAGGATTGTTGTGAAAATTTCAGTTTATTACAACTTGGCTTTTGCAATCAGTTTTTGCCAGCATTTCTCTACAGGGTTTTTTAAAATAATTTTATTCACCTGAGCAATTGTTGAGATCTGGGAAGATATGAAAACCCAACAAAGGGAACAAGGAAACAGTTTAGCTGGGTTTTCAAATCCACTTCATTTGTGGCTAAAACTGAAAATGAGCTCACCTGAAAGGCTGCCAATCATCCCTCATTGAACAAAAAAAGAAGAAAAAAGAAAGTCCAACAGGGTCTGGAGTTGTGTTTCTTGACCTGGCTTCTTTTTAGTGATTTTATCAGTTCTTCTTCAATTTACTTCCTATGTAAAATGTTATTGTTTTACAAGTTGAAACCAGGTTGTAATATATTATCATTTAATATTTCAAATCTGCCGCTATTTAAAGATTGTAGCTGGATTAATTGCAGTTTTAGTCCACCTTGGGCGGTAGAACAAGCTGTAAACACAACATTCACATATTATCCCCTCATAAAGTCGTTATTGCTAACCACTTTGTTCACCAGCTGTTCGCTAACTTTGTCTGTCTGCTGTTTGGTGCTGGATTCAAAGTGCCATTGATTACTGCAGCTTTAAGCTTTGTTCAGGGTTCTTTTCTTGTATATTAGTGAACCTGGGTTATGGTATAAGGTAGCCTATATAGTAGTGTAGTGTAATCCAAGCATAGACCCTTTACAAGAATGACGTATATGCAAGAATGACGTATACGCAACAGAAGTACAATAGCTTGTCAAGCTATGCAAGGACATTAACCACCAAAGATGATGAATGCAACCTAAACAAAGGGACTTCCCAGATCTATGTGAGCGGGTAGAATGCACGGAAGCATTCGGCTGAAAGTCACTGATTAAACTGAAACACCCGTCGCTTTGAAAGGGTCGTGATCTTGTCGGAATTCTGTAGAACTTGAGGTCGCTGTTAGAATTTCAATTGCGACAACCAAACATTTAACAACCAGACATTTGGACGCTGTTAACAGTTTTAATTCACTGTTTAAAGCTTGCTAACTTTTCTGGATGGCTGGAGCAAACCGCCAATTCTGTTGCTAACAAACGTGCGCATATTATTGATGACGTCGGCTGTAAAAAGGTCTATTGATTGATTACTTCCCTGAGTACCATGCAGGGTTAAGACAGCGGAGACAGACACCAAACAGGTCAGAGTGAGTCACATTCCACCATCAAGCGTAGTCTTTATTTGCACATGAATGCATTTCAACAAGGCTTGGGAATACGGCACACAATACGATTTCACATAAATCATCTTTATCCACTAAAAAGTCGTCTCAGGTCTTAGTTCTTAATCATCACTAAGCTTTAACAGTGATCAGCGTTTACATGAACAGCAAAGTATTACGCGTACGGCCTAATATTAGTGAATTTTACAAAAGTCAGTAAAGGTGTATAGTAATTTAGCCTTAATATTTCACAGTGAAACTAGATGCCTTGCCACAGATTAATGCGAGCGGAAATCCAAAATTATTTCATTGATAAAAAATAATGCATACAGCTATGCGGATCACTCTCTCATTTGGTCCACTGTGTGAGCTTTAAAGTTTAGTTACTAAGAGAAAGATTCCATCCAGCAGACATGTAAAGCAGCATGGTTAGAAAATACTGTGTGTCGTTATTCCAATAGAAACCAGGTTTTGAAGTGCTACACAGCATAGTGCCAAATGTTTAATATATAATAGAGACAATCCCCCACAGGTTACATGTAATGAACATTGTCATGTAAACAGCCTTTTTAGGATGAGACCTCAGCCAGAACGTACAGTGGTTGTGACCTAACAGGCAGCGTGGACTACCAGGTAGTTTTATAAATGCCAGGGCCCTGTCCCGTTTCTACAACAAGAAGTAGTCAGCTTCAAATAAAAAGCACGGCTCTCCATACATGATCACTTCGAGATGCCAGAGCTGGCAGAGAACCACCAAGAAACTGGCCGGAGCCCCAACTCTGTAGCTGTAGGGGGAAAACTCTGCTCTGCTAAACTTGATCTACAGCCAATGATCAAGTTGTTCCAATGCAATCTTTCATATAGAATAACAAGGAGGAGATATGAGATTGCGTCTGTGAAAACGATGTCTCATAACACATACATCCGCTCCGTGTCTTTATATTGCTCATGTGTGAAATATGGGTGGAATGTGTCCAAACTGACCAATTCCAAATAAGAGATCATTTTGCCATGTTTCTAGAATTCTAATATTCAACCAACGGGTCCCAAGATGTAAGACTAGATTACAAACAAAGCAAGAACATGAACCAGGGCCCCAAGAGTTCCTGATTCACTGTATGTCAAAGGTATTTGGTAATTTGATTGATTGCAGATTTGTTGGCACCACTACAGTAGAATATCAAATAAGGCAGGTCCTGCTTTATAAACATATTACGAGATCCCAAATCTATTTTATTAGTTGATAGCCAGTGAGAATCCTCAATTTTGATTGACAGGTGCAGATTAACATTTAGTAGGTTTACCGGGTAACCAGACACTCAGGCTTTTGTTACCATTCTCTTGTATGCAGTCGCTGAGGATAAACCAGTTGCTGGATGGTCAATAAATCCCTCCAAATAATAGGCCTGCAGGCTTGTGGAGCCAAAATGTCTCCATATATGTTTCTACATGTGTTAAATAGAAAAGCTGCAACGTGAAATAATGAGTAATGTTAATTACTTTAGCTGCTGACTAATTAGAAAAGTTTTGCAATTACTTTATGAGTCAATTATCATGGACTTCACCGAGGCTAACACCACCTTATTGTGTTAGTATGGTACAAATAACTGCAAAAAATGTTGTTTAATTAAATTACCACTAACTGACACACAGAAAAACTGTAGAGGAAATTTGTGCCCTTAACAGCTCCATCCCTCCGTGCTAAAATGTCCTCACAGCTCACTTTTTAATGTTCTGAAACTGCTGACTTTTAACAGGGGTTTGGGGTGCTATTGGTTGTTATAACAATACAAATGAACTTACATTCAATGCATTTTGACATGGTTAAAGGCGCTAAATTGGAAATTCCAAGCATATTTATTGCCTCTACATGTCTCTCAACATGGTGAAGGCTGAGCAACCTGCTCACAGCTAACAGTGCTGCAACAGCGCTGACGGAGCTAACAGTGTTTACCTGAGGGGGAACAGGAGGGTGAGCGCAACGCTTCCACGACAACGTCGCATCATCTGCAACCGCCATAAAAGGTTCAATGCAGAGCGGCGGCCGTGAGCTAGCCAGCGGGCTCACACTCACATACACTAACATGCACTAAAAAGCATGTGCCGCTGGCCCGTCTACATCAACAAAGCACAGAGAAGCTCTGATTACAGCACACACAGAGGGAGATTGACTTCCTTCTCTGCTCAGGTAGACATTAGTCCACGATATCTTTACATACACAATAGTTGTTTGCTGCTATATTGATGCTCTGAATATCGTATAGAGAACCTTCAAGGCTTTGGTCATTTTAAACCCTCGTCAGTCATTAGTTCAGTCCTGCTTAACATTCACGTCCAAAGACATACTGACAATCTTGCATCTTTAAAAATACTAACCAAGTACGTAATTCCTCTATGGTGGAAGTGCTTATAAATCTGTACTCCAAAGCACAAGAAAGTATAATAATGAATCCATCACTAAACCAGGGGGGTGCATTTAGGGCTGGTGGAGCATATTCATGTTTAGAATGGCAGTTAAAGCAGCACAAGGCAACAGTTCTCATTTCATGAAAAAACAAAACAACAACCCCCCACAGATATCTGAATTATTGTGGCATCACCTTCTCTCACCAATAAACTCACACCAATACTTGACTTGGATTTTGTCATAATTCAAACGGTAATCTCTCACTGTCCAATCTGAAAAATACATATTTCAAATAGCACGACTACACCTGCTTCAGAAGCAATTTGCTTGCAAGGCCATAACTTCCCACACACAGCCTTTCATAACCACATCATATTGCAACAATAATTATTATTGTGTAACTGACAATGATTTGTCAACCTGCTACGTTCCCTTTGTCCCATTTGCAAAAGGAAAACAAATGGGACATCACTGTTCTCTCTTTTAAAAGGTACATGTGTCATTTTCAACATCAGCAAATGATGACCACATTCATTTTGAGACATTAGCATAATTACTCAACAACAAAACCACTGCTGGGATGATTGGCAGCCCGACCAGCCTCCACACTGCATTTTACATTTTGTGCAACTGACATGGATTCAGAGGAAAATCTTCTGGATTGCTTCCCTTTCTGCGCAAACAGAGCTAAATCTGTCAAATTGTCTCACTGTGACAAATGTGAGAGCAAAATGGTAAGAAAAAAAAAAAACATCTCCAACATGTTATCCTCTTCAGTAAAGCCACATATGCCACAGAGGCGAGGAGAAGAGACAAAGCAAAAGGGATTATGGGAGATGAAGTCGCTAGCACTAAAAATACCACTGGCACGAGACGAAGGCTATCAATCATCTCAACCGCGGTCTCATTGTTTATGGCAATTTTACCTGATGATAAAGACATGTTTAAAAATGTAACACGTGGAACCTCTAAATCTTACTAATTGCAGTCTTACTAATTGTAAGACTGCATTTACAATTAGTATTTGGCTGAAAAAATACAATTAAACTCAGCCATTATTATACACACCACTGAGGCAACACTTTCCACTTATGAAACGTAGAATATAGCATGAATCTGTAAGCATTTTGCTCAATTATTACATTCACATTTTAAAATCTAAATGATAAATAACACAATTTGTTTAAATTAAATGTTATTACTAAATCCTTCCATATATATGTATATATATATATAATTTTCACTATAATTATTTCAATGTTTCAAAATATATTATTGACAGACAATCAAATACACTTTAAAGTTGGATGTGATTATAAAATACATTGTACACTTTAAAGTTCGACCTCAGTCAGTTTTTTTAAGTTTTAAAGTATATATGAAGTAGTAAAAGCAGGTATTAAAGAGAGGCATTACATGGGAAGTGTAATTTGATATAAGGCCTGAGACACATTTACATTGTTGGATCTGTATAAATGGATAGCGCAATGGCGGAGTCCGACAGAAATTCTTTTCTCCAGCTGTAATTATTTGTATGCGTTTATGGTAACTGAATTCCAACATTGTAGTATTTTCTTTAAATACAGGTGACTGAGTCAAATCATTAAGAATGTCTCATTGGTGAACTACGTTTTGAGGTGGATTTTCTTTGTTGTTGTGTATATCCTGTACAGTACATTCAACAGAATAAAAAAAAACTCAGAACTATTCATATTTCTTATTTAGATAGAGAATAATGTGAACGTGTTACGAATAAATCATCCATGTGTTTCAAAATTTAACCTTTTGTTCAAACCCATAATAAATTGTCAGTGGCCGTATTTCCAAATAATCTCAACCTGAAGGTTTCTGTTTAGCCTTAGTCTCACACTGTGTCAAACGTACAATCTTCAAGATCTCTGTTTCGATTTCTCTGACAACGCCTGTGGAGCAGTAATTGCAGGTGTGTTTTCAGGTCTCACTTCCTAAAGATCCAAACAGTGTCCGCTTGTGATTTTTCCAGGGACTGTGTTGACTCATCCGTCAACAGACAGTGACTGAGAAGATATTTATTCAAATTACAATTTTGAGACGATTACGTTAAACTGATTATATATGATGTTGTCTAGGCTAGTGTAAGAAAATGCAACAATGAACTAGTCTTTTATGCAGCCTTTAGAAGGTCATAAGAAGGCAATGGCAGCAGCTAGATGCAAAATTCAAAATTTACAGGCAAAAAATCTGTAGTTGTTCCAGTTGTCAGTTTCTTCTCTTCTTCTTTTTCTCTTGGCAACAAACTCAGCTTCAGGTGATGGAAGCTCCTCCCGAATGGTTGCACAAAAAAACCCCATTTCCTTCACAAATCAACCCGAGGACGATGACGACGATGATGACGACGAAGGGCAGGGTCTATGGGTCTCGCCCCCCCTCAGTTCCGTGAACCCTACCAATGGGGATGATGTCACTTCCTTCTCTTTCTCCTTCCTGCTTCCGGTGCAGACGGACCTCTGGGCTGGTCTAAACTGCCAAGTCACCTTCTTTGCTGTCGACGACTGCTCTGCCGATCTCTCCCGTTTTACCGGCGTAGGGACATTTTGGGTTGCCTCAGGAATGGCTGCTGTATCTGCCAGGCCGGCGGTGGCCCCGGTAACCTTCCTTGCTTTGCCATTGTTGTTTTTGTCCTGTTCCGTGAAGAGCTCACTCAGGACTTCGGCTTCGTTGGTTTCTCCGAACAAGTCCCAGTCCGGCTCAGCAGGCGGCCGCTTGGACCGTGCTACGCTGGCAGATTTGTTACCAGCAGCAGAGAGTCTGGAGGAGCGACTGGGATCGGAGTCGGACAGGTCGGAGTCCCAGTCACTGTCCCCTGCCACAGAGTCACAACCCAGCACCGACAGATCAACAGGTCCGGATCCTGAACTTTCTGAGTCTGACTCCCTGGAAAACCACAACAGACAGAATCTGGGTGAAATAATTGAACCACAGTAATATTGGATTACAGTGACCAAAGTAATCACTGGCATCTACAGACTCACCAATCTTGAATTCAAACAATTTAAAATATTTCTCTGGTATCTTCATTCTTATATTTATTAGAATGGTGTTAAAATTACTGCTTTTAAATATGTTGCATGAAATCTAAACTCTGTCACAAGCAATCTTTATATTATTGAAATTACATTATTATTATTAGTGCTGAATTTGCAGAGGGAGGGGAAATCAGACACACCCACACACATACATCCTTTTAAAATACTGTAGTTTATGTTGAGTCGTAATGGAAATGAGATGAATGATAGTTTGTGAATCAAAGTATACTTTTGCATGGATTTTAAAAAATGAGCATCAAACACTTAATTTCCTGCGTTCTGGTGAATTATTCTGCATCAAGTTATGGTGGAAATGTGTTAATTTATGTAAAGGAAAACTCTGGCGGCAGGTGACAATTCAAAATATAACTACAATTACCTCCTTATGGTTGTATGCCTCTGCCAACTAAGTTATAGTTTACATTCATGTCTGTCCAAAATGTCATCACTTTATTATTTTATCATGTCATAGTTGTCATAATTAGCATATGAATTCTTGAATTATGACAAAAAATGTGTTTCGTGAAGTCACAGTGACCTTTGACCACCAAAATGTAATTAGTTCATCCTTGAGTCGAGGTGGATATTTGTGCTAACATAACGTAACACATCGCAGCATGTTACGTTGGGTTAGGTTCGTTAACATTTTGCACGTTAACATAATATAACGTACATTACTTTACGTTACATTAACGTAATGTAACGTAATGCAACGTAGCGTAGCATAAAGGCATTAATCTCACCATGTAGCTTATTGTCCACACAAATGTTAGTATGCTAGTGAGCCATAACTATTACATAAGAATCTTTCAATTCTAAAAAATAGTCTAACTCAAATCTCAAATCAAAATCTGCTCAATATTTCATCAGCGCTGTCTCACAGAGGAGAGGGCCAGATTTTATACTGTATGCTATATGGTCAGCTGTGGAGCAACGCAGCTGGTAATATCATCATCTGTTTTAGAAATCTAAGATAACATAAAATAGAATAAAATGCACTGGAGCCACAGTGAACACACACAAAAATACACATACCTGCCGCTGTAGGGTGTGTTTCCTGCAGGGCCCAGTAGGAGGCAGGCTGGAGCGGCCAGGTAGACAAAGCTGTCAGTGCACAGAAAGTCTCCTTCCTCTGGTTTTTGTGGGGCAAGATAAGTCGGCTTGGCATTCCTTTCTGTATTTGACTGGTCCAGGTGTGTTTTCATGCTTTCCGACTGTTGCTGCGCAATGTCGTGTTTTATGCCATGGGTGGGGACTTCTGCCAGTGCAGCGACTCCCCCCTGGGAGGCAGGCCTTGCAGACACGGCAAGGTAAACAAAGCTGTCCGATTGGACAAAGGGATCTAAGTCCCCGCAGTCCAGTCCTGAGCTTCTGATTGGCTTCTGATAGGGTTGTTTTGAGGGAGACAGAGGAAGAGGGAAGTCACTTCCCATAAGGGTCACTTTTTTCCTGGGTGGTGTCTCCTCACTTTGTGGAGCATTTAAAGACGTAGAGCCCTCAATGTTTGTTTGGTCAAGTTGGGTCCTAATGATTGAAACCGTTCCTATCTTACCAACCCTTCTTCCACTCTCACCTTTGCCTCCGTCTCCATCTCTCCCCGTCTGTCCACGCCCTGCTTCCTGTCTTCCGCCATCACCTCCTACGTCCTCATACGCGGAGGTGTTGAGAAGTGACGGGTAGCACCACTGCAGCTCCGCACTCTCCTCCCTCCCCCACTCCTTCAACCCGCCATCTTCCCCATCTTTCTCCAGCGACGTGCTGCTGCTGCCCAGGTCAGAGCCGCTGATCGGCTGGTCGCTGTCGGAGCCGGCCTCCTCCTGGCTCTGGTTGGATAAGGAGAGGAAGACGCCGCTGGAGTCGGACTCCAGCGTGAGGTTGGAGTCTGGAGAGCTGTCCTCCTTAGTGGAGCTAGAAAAAAGACAAGGCAGTCAAATGACTGCTACATCCCCATGTGCCACCTTCCCTTCTAATACTCTCTCTCTCTACCACTGGTTATCACTGATGCCATCAGACTTGTCATAACCTACTCTTTCAGATCTAAGTTATCGATTGTGTCTTTGTCCCCAGCTCTGATTTGAACACTAATTGGATAATGGACACATCAATATGGATACATTAGCCCCCTACTTTAGCTGAGGACGTGTTGCTTTCACACCTACCTCACTTGGTGCAAATCAAAGGAACCTACTTTTACAGTTCATTAATGCATGATGTGCTGTCTAACTGTGCACGCACACAAATCTTTTTTTATAGCAAAGTTTTAATATGGTCCAGACCACAAATGTGACCCAAAACAATTACAACTACTGTAGGGTGTTAAATACTGCAAAAACAGGGAAGACATACAAAGTTAACTTTAAATGAGGTAATCGGCCAGAGATAATTACTCAAACAGATGTAAGGTTATTAAAGACATATATATTGGATTCTAGGTCCCGCCAATATAAGCCCACTAATCACAAATGTTGCACAGCAACCTTTCAAGCCGAAATGGTCTACATTATAAAACTAGCCAATGTTGTAGAGTCAGCACAGTCTGTATTTGAACATGGATCATGTGGACTTGGGCTGGAATGTCAATAGCAGTTTGGGGCTTCCATAAATAAAATAGTTTAGATTAATAAATCAGGATTATGACAGCCAGCCTTTCTTGGCTTTTACTGCCTTTCATGGCCAATACACAGGACAGATCTAGGAAAAAAACACAACTTCCCTTTCTCTAGCAGCTCATCAACACTGTCCTGCTCACATGTAATGAATGTGCCTGTTTTTATCCAAAACTATGGGCACACACTCTGTTCTACCAGAATGAGATGTTCATAATAATGACAGATGAAAAGCAATGAAATAGCAACACGAAGCATTTGGCAGTCCATCGTAACAAATATTTGAATGTTCTCCGGCTGCATCGGCCATATACACACAGATCACTTAAAGGTGGAGTCAGTGGCTTCTAATCCAATGCACTTTTTTGTCAAATTCAGCAAATATCCCGTCACGGTCTGCTAGCTGTCAGTTCTCTGTGTGAGCTGACAAAAAACCTGGTGTTCAAACACAGCCCTGGCTGTAAATGGGAAACAAACAAAGGAACTCGGACCAAGCCACACAACATTATTCTAGCCAATCAAGAACACGGGGCACTCAGATCAGGGGGAACATACTATGAAGGCAAATCACTGTCAAAATCCGAGAGCGCAAATGAGATCCACGCGCGCTCGAAAATCAAACAGCCGCATACGTATTTTACTTTGACGAGCGCTTTTACATCACTCCGTGAGTAAAATTCACTCTCGCGGGAGCAAAAGTCGCTCGCGAAACTTTAACCTCCTCGCTTGCGAGTCTTTTTCCTGCTCGCTCGCGAGTAGTTTTTCTTTTTGACAGGAAGTGGGCGGACCCAGTCTCCATTGTATCTCTACATCTAATTGGTTACAATCCTCGTCTTTGGATAAACCGGATATCACTCTGACACAGACGCTAGGGGGAGATTTTCAGATTGCACTACAGGTCAGGGGCAAATAATGTACATTTTACTGCACGGGCAGTTTTACTTTCTGCACTTAAAATACATTTTGCTGATAATAACATTGACTAAAGTTTTGAATGCAGGTATTTTACTCGTAATGGATTATCGTTTCATCAGTATGGTATTAGTACGTTTAATGCAGTGAGGATCTGAATACTTTTTCATCCAATAATTACTTGTCAGTGATTTAAAAGTTAATATACAAACAGTGGTCCCTAATCTTGGCTCCAGATCTTTGAGCAGGTCCAAATTGTTGCTCATATTATATACAACTATATTATATCTCTTCTGTAAACACAACAGTATGATTAAATATGATCACATCATGTTTTAATCAATTAAGATCAAAAAGTTTCTTTGAGCTGTTTGTCACAAGAGGTTTGAGTATCAAACACACAATGTCTGTAATAGAATGATGGAGTTTAAACCAATCTGAGCAACTTGACTTTAACACATTTTTAATTATTGTATTTAACAACACTATTAACATAATTTGTATTTCATCAGCCTCTACAGTCTGAAAAGTTTACAAAACCTGTCAGACAAATGTAGTACATCCTGAGATCTAGTGGAGTAGTGTTTAGTGGCGGATTGAAAACCACCTCTATCAGATCTAGCGTCTGTGTCAGAGATCACTCTGACGCAAAGACGAGGATTGTAACCAATTAGATCTAGAGATACTTACTGTCAAAAAAAAAATCTACTCGCGAGCGAGCAGTTTAAAGTTTCGCGAGCGAGCAGGTTTAAGCTTCGCGAGCAACTTTTGCTCGCGCGAGAGTGAATTTTGCTCGCACGAGACGGAATTTTGCTCGCGGAGTGATGTCAAAGTAAAATATGCGCGCGGCTGTTTGATTTTCGCGCGCGCATGGATCTCATTTGTGCTCTCGGATTTTGACAGTGATTTGCCTTCATATTGAACACTTGTAAAGGCAGTGGGAGCGATCTGGGAGGGGGGTATTTGTTTGTGTGTTCAAATACAGTGTGAACAGCTCATAGTGATCACTGTTAGAGTCATCAACCACCTATATTGATCAAAAAGCTTGTACAGAACCACTCCTATACAAATGCTGTTTAAATTATTCTCTTATAGTAATCAAGAAGTACACTAAAACTGTTCATTTTGGGTCTTTACATACATGACAAAATATGGAAAAACATTTTAAAACTACTTTAGGCTTAATTAAATAAATTTTTTGTTTTGTTTTTTACTTTACTCCCTTGATACTTTGCCTCGCAGTGACTCGTCTGCTTCCGGCTGGTCACCTGAGGCACATTGAAATCACTACAGGGAAAAGTAAATCACTTTCTCTCAATGAAAAATGTGCCTGTGGTTGAAGCCGCCCTCATCAAGTGGATTGATAATGCCTGGTCATGCAATGCCCTCAAAGTAAAACTCCAGCTGCATGCACCAGCCATGCTGGATAGACACAGAGCCAGCCAAAAAGCTGCAAATCTCACCCCAAGCGAGCCCTTGTTGGGGGAAAAGGCGAAGAACTGGCAGTGGGCCATTAAATAGCAAAGCTGTCTGTTTCATTACTTCCTATTCATGTAAAAAATATACTAATGTCAATTAGATGGTAATATGCATTAGCATAAAAATAATAACAACAACAATGGGGTTATAATAATCATCTGCATAGTGGTCAATTTGACCCGCAAAGACTGTATCAACAATGTTTCTCCAGAATCGCTGACCCCACTTTTAATAAACAAATTGCAGTATTTAAATTGTTGCAATGGGTCGTCTGCTGGACTAAACGAATACAATAGCATTGAATTTAGCAAATAACTAAATGCTAGGGAAAAATGGAGCAAACTAACAAATTCTGAAATGACTTTAAAAACCTTTTACATCTATTTATGCTGTTTTATTTGTGACATTAATGAATCTATCTTTATCTCCAGGACTGACCAAGATTGTTATCTATATTTCTTGTCACTGTTACTGTTCTGATTTACTGATTGCATGTGATATCAGCCTTGCATGTCAAGGCTCAAGGCTCAAAACAAAATGGTCACTACCATTTTGTTTATTTAAATCACTCATGGCATTTACTTACATGTAGAATCCAAACAGTCAATTTTAAAGAACAAATCTTGCCACCACACTGCACTGTACAAGCCACAAGTCCAAATTGGATGTTGATAGATTTCATTACTGTGTTAGTGTCCACCATGTCTAACAGTATATATAAAAAATATAAAAAGAAAATGAGAAATTAAAAGAATGACATCCAAATTGATGTTTTGTTGTCTAAATCAGCTGTAGTTTCTCAAAAAACAAACTATGCACGTGCCATGATCCATATTAAAGTGTTTACTCTGGCACACACAGAATTAATTTTTAAATTCACAGATATCCCAATAAAAGTCATATATTTGCTAAACTGACCCAAAAAGGCCAGTAAATATAAATTTACAGTACACAATTATGACTTATATTTTTATTGTTAAACTTTTTATTGATATTAAAATTGGTCACTCTTCTCTACTGCAACTGCTGCACAACAATTTCCCTTGGGATAAATAAAGTTCTATCTTATCTTTGAATTGAACCGTAGATCCTAAGTCATTGTGGCCCTGTGCATTAATAATCCCGTCTTTGATCAGATTTCCAGTATACCTTGGCTGAATTCAAACCTGGATATTGTTTTTTCCCTGTGTGATGAACCTTTAGTCACCCAGGATGTACATCAACATCTGGTGGAGAACAGTTCAGAATCAATGCTAACAACAATGAGGAATTACCTTGTGCCAACAGTGGTAGTCCCAGCAGATTTGGTTGACCAGTCAACAGGAGGTCTGTCTGTGTCTGTAGCTGGTGAGGCAATAGCACTGAGCTCCAAACTGACCTCGGATCTGCTCACCACTCCTGGAAAAAATAGCACAGATTCAACACAATTAAAGAATTGGGAGCTATAATCAAAACATCCCCATTCATGCCCTTCCTGGTCAAGCCTTTGGATATTTGATCACAGCCAGTCGATCAGTGTTTGCCATTGTCTAGTGGCTGTGGTAACATTTGTTCATTTTTTAGCTTTCTGCCGTATTAGAAAAGTAACACACAGGTTTCTGAGAGCATAACTTTGCCAGTTACAGTACCGGAGCCAAATAATTATAATAGGCAATATGGTGGAAAATGCATAGAGCTGAGGTAGGACAAGCAAACAGCACGAACCACACTTCAGACCCACGACAAGCAAGCAAACAAAAAATAAATAAGCCCCTTGATGGACCAGTTAGTGCAAGGGTGGGCAATCATTTTTCCCAAGGGACCACATGCGAAACAGGGACTGTTGTGGAGGCCCGGACAATAGACTGAACTCAATCCTGCTCTATATTATTCCACCTCTTTAAAAAAAGTAAATTGTGGTTTTGATAAGCTGTGAGTAAATATTATGATCACTGGTGGAATGTAACTAAGTATATTTTCTTAAGTACTGTACTTATGTACAAATTCAAGGTACTTTACTTGAGTATTTCTATTTTATTTCAACTTTGTACTTCCACTACATCTCAGGGGGAAATATTGTACTTTTTACTCCACTACATTTGTCTTAGCAAAGCTTTAGTTACTTTGCACAATATCATTTTTCAAACCTTTCCTAACTACCCCAACTGAACAATAAAGGAGTTAAAATGAGCTGCACCTTAAACATCTGCAGCAGCAATAATGATCCAAACAAATATGCATTTGTAATATCCATATATAGTAATAAAACACTGACAGGGATCATGTTTCTGATAGATTAGTACTTTTATTACTATTGTTTGTAGTCCAATGACCTCATTTTTAGTTTTTCCGTTCAGTGAACGAGTGCACTGAAGTCAGGTTGAATGTGAGGTGAGATGTGAAGGACAGCTGACGGGTGATCGTCAGTGAAAGAAAATCTGGATTAATTAATTAATTAAACTTCATCATGATGAGAATGTTTGTTCACATATCTAGGTCGATCCAAAGAGAACCAACATCTTCTGAGCATTTTGCTTTTGAAGCTTTGCTAGCAAAGCCTCAGATGTCCGTGCCGCTCTGCATCACCAACACATCTCAGGTAACCAAAATGACCTGGCCCAGCTCCGGCGTAAGCTTGGCATGCTGAAAGAAACACGTCGGGCCGAGTCCGGTTGCCGACTCGGCTGAGACTCGGGATGAAGTACGGCCCAGAATCGGGCCAAATACACCGGCCCGATTCCGGCTGCCGACACTGCTATTATGCGAGCAGCAGTGACGCTGCTGCTTGCACACATCCACGAACGTACTAACATAGTAAATTGAGATGAAAAACTTTAAAAGCAATGCAGCTGTATTCCGTGCATGATGTACAATCATTTACGTTTTATTCCTAATTTCCCATTGAAGTCCCACGGGCCGGTCGACGACAGCCAACGGGCCAGATATGGCCCGCGGGCCGTACAATGCCCAGGTCTGAGTTAGTGCATTTACATCAGTGGTGGGCCGTCAGGGCCAGAAAAGCCTTCTCTGCTGGCCTCGACAGAAGTTATAGCTATTTTATAATTTAATTATTTTTCAAAAATACACTACTTGTATTCTTAATATTTGTCATTAGCATATTATCTCATTGCACAGCTACTGTCTTCCTCAGTTGCCCTGCTTCCAACGCTGCTTCCAGCACAACTTGTTTTAAGTAAGCTTTTATCCAATCAGATTTTGCCCCTGTGTCTCTAGGTAAAAGAAAATCTGCCCAGAGGCCTGCAGAATTACAAGTGAATGCCTTTGCAGTTTAAGTAAATGGGGACGATATTGTTGATTGTCAGTCTTCAACCAATCAGATTTTTAGTTTGACATGTTGGGCGTATTCTTTGATGTACCAGAGCTTCTGGCTGGCCTAGCCGAGTAAGTCATCATCAATGTGTGGCTTGATTGGTCAGTGGGCTAGTGTGACTGTTGTGAAGCTTACTAGCAGATCTTTGAAGTAGTAAGAGGTTTTTTTTCCTAGCTTTGTTTTTTTAACACTCAATGGCTGAAGGAGGAGGAGAATTTGGTGGCGGAGTTACTGGCAACGCCTTTCTGGAGAAGGACATTTCAGGAAAAGCTGGACATTGTAAGAAAGCGTCGATAAACCCCACAGCTAGCAGCCCTGACCCATCCAGGAAAAGGATTTGTACGAATGGTATTTCTGGCTAACAGCGTCGGAGAAGCGTTGCGCATTTTATGGCTGGGAATGCGTTTTATTTGCAACTGAGCGTCTTGGTGTTGGAGCTACGCTACGCTAACCTGAGTTGTCTAACCAAGGCAGCAACACGACACCATAGCACGACAGGATGCTTACAAGCTACAGTGCTTTTGAAAACTTTAGCTGAGACCCGAGTGGATCTACAACTCAACAAACACGTTCGCAGGAGGACCTCTGGCTGGAACTGAACTGAACCGATGTTCTGTACAACCGCAGTATTAAACTCCTTGTAATCAAAGAAAGGAGGATGGACTTTGTCTTTAAGTTTACAGCAGCTTTGGTAAGTGAACTGCTTTTGTTTTACATCTGCAGTAGAGTTACTACCGTGTTAATTTGTCTATGGTGTCGTTTTTATGATATGGTTAATATTGTTCCCTCTGATGTGAATAATATTTGAATGGCTCGTGCTCTTCAGTGTGTGGTGGAATAATAATAATAATAATAATAATAAATCAATTTTCTATAGCACTTTTCAAGATACCCAAAGATGCTTTACAAGGCTGAGACAAACAGAACAAACAAACAAACAAACAAAACAAAACAAAAAAGAATAACTGGAGAAGCTGTGCTGAATGGGTCATGTAATGGAGGGTAGGGTGCAGGGGTTAGCAGGTGAAGGCGAGTTTGAAGAGGTGGGTTTTGAGGGCTTGTTTGAATGATGATAGGGAGGGAGCCTCACGGATGTGGATGGGGAGGGCGTTCCAGAGGTGAGGTGCAGCAGCTGAGAAGGCCCTGTCACCCCAGGTCCAGCGCTTGGTCCTGATGGTCTTCAGAGAGTTTGCACCAGCTGACCTGAGGTAACGGGTTAGGGCGTGGAGGGGGAGGAGGTCTGAAAGGTAGGGAGGGGCCAGGTTGTTTTGGGCTTTGTACGTGTTTTAGTGCTGCAGTGTTGCTGGAGTCATGCTTTGTTGTCATATAAGTATATGTGACTGGTTCTTGTGAGTTTGTTCTTGTCATTGTGTTAATTACGTTGATTTTGACTATATGCATTGTAGGGCTGCACAATTAATCGAATTTTAATCACGATCACGATTTTGGCTGCCACAATTAAATAAACATGATCGTCAGCGATATTGACGTTTAAAATCTGCTACATATCAAATCAAGCGCTTCCTCAACTAACAGTCAGCCAACCACCAGGGAGCGAATGAGATGGGAGGTGTCATGCGCGCACCCTGCAGCAGCAGCCTCAAAAAAAGTTCTGTCTGCAGTCGACTCCGTTATTAGTAGAAGAGTAGAGAGACAGACAACAGAACCGAGAGCAGACGGTCACGGGTGTCGTGTGAAAGGTAAATCAAAGGTCAGGAGCAGAAGGCGAGGAGCTAGCCCCTCGAAAAGGATCATCATCCGTTGTCTGGAAGTTTTTTGGATTTAGGGCAAGTGATGTTAACCAAGAACAAATCATATGCACAGAGTGCGTTAGAGTTGTGTCTGCGCCGCATAGCAATACAACTAACTTGTTCAACCACCTGAAAAATCACCACAAACTACAGTACGCCGAATGCATTAAGGCCAAAGCTAACGTTACCTCACTGAATCTGCGTCCATGTCCAACGTCAACCCAGAAAACCACAACAGCGACCCTGCATAGCGCGACAGCGTATCTATCCACCTCCCAAAGACACACTGAAATAACAGATGCAATCGCATTTCATTTGGCCAAAGACATGTGTCCAATAAATACTGTGAGCAATGAAGGCTTCAGAAAAATGGTCAAGACAAAAAAGTACTTGTGCATTCCGGCCACAAGTTCCCCCTCAGAGAGGGTCTTTAGCACAGGGGGAAATGTAGTGACCTGCCTTCGCTAATCTCTCAAGCCAGAAAATGTCGACAGGCTGGTGTTTCTTGCCAAAAACCTGTAGGTCTAACACCTTGTTATTGCCTTTTCTGCATAGGCCTGAATTGTTTTCATTTGGTTGCATTCTGTGATGGCATATTTATTTTTAGTTAGCCCTTTATTTTGGGTAAAAATGTTATTTATATTTTGCTTCAGGTGAATAAGAACCGTATAAGTTTTATTTTGATGCAAAGACGTGTACATTAGCTGGAATGTAGCACAACATGGAAGGGAAAGCAGTGCTCTGTTGATTTAATTTTGGGTAAAAAGTGTTGATACTATTTTATTTATATTTTCCTTCTACGAGATGCACTGTGATAAGGACCAGTCTGATGCAAAGATTTGTACATTAGCCGGAATGTAGCACAACAATGGAAGTGGAAGCAGTGTTCTTGTTCATTTAAACATGAAAGTGCAATAAAAAGATGTTGTCCCTAAAATTATTGAATAATCGTGATAAATAATCGTGATCTCAATATTGATCAAAATAATCGTGATTATGATTTTGGCCATAATCGCGCATTGTCCGTTAATGACGAAGCATCCTGTCATGCGCGTATTGATGTATCTGCAACCTGCAGTTAGTGTATTTGTAGGTGTTGAGCTTCATGTAACATTTTATTTCACTTGTCAAATGTTGCAGTGTTATGTGAATATGAGGTGTTTACACAAAATAAATAATAATGAGGTTATTAGAAGGTGGTTCAACTGTAGTAGGACAGCACTGAAGGCCCAGGATCCTGCATTGTTACTGATTATATGCCCTTGTAGAGGATTATCACCATTAATTAACATTAACAGTTTATATCTTGCTCATGGTCCATATTGCCAAATTCTGTTTGATTAAATTAGAGCAAACTCATTTACACAGAAATCTGTGATCGGGTTTGGTTTTTTGAGCTAGGATTACTAGTTTATAGTCCCTGGGAAATGAATTCATCAATTAAGCTTTAATATTATCAGCTGTAATGCTATTCAGTGTGTTATTCTGACTGCAAAGAACATGGGAAGAAGGAAAACAACCATACACAAAATGCAACAACCATCTACCTGTGGAGAGAGCAGCTTTCTCCCTCTGCGGACCAGGGTGTGTTTGGTACATGTCAGCTCGTTCCCTCTGTGGCTCCAGCAGTGATTGGTATATATCATGGGTGTCCCTGTGGGGCTGAGACAGGTCTAGGTGCTCCAGGTCAGAGTCCAGCTCCCTGGCTCTCCTTTCCAACTCTGTCAGGCTGAGCTCCGAGGCTGCCGATGAAGGGGGGTGGGAGCCTCCAAAGCCAATTGGGGGCCGGAGAAGAGGCCAACGTTGCAGGGAGCCCGAGAAAGAATCTGTATCCCCACCTCCCCCCTCTCCCCCCTTCTCCCAGCCATCCTCCCACAAAGTGTTGACCATGTCAAGGACAGTGTCCCAAGCCTCTACCCCCCCTTCCTCTCCAAATGTGCCTCCTTCTTGCTCCTCCATTTGGCTTTCTTCTTTCTTTGATTTAGCCACCACCTTCTCCAACTCTTGTACATGCCGCTCTTGTATTCCATCATTAGTCTTCACTCCTCTAACCTCCACGTCCCCCCCCATAATTTCTACATTCCTTGCCTTTTTGAGATCCTTTGTGTTTCCATCCTCTTGCACCTTCCCTTCAATCTTTCTCTCTGACTTTTCTCGTTTGGTTTCCTCCACCAGCCCCTCACTGACAGTAACCCTATCTTTCTCCTTATCCACTTTCTCTTCCATTTTCACTTTGTCTTTTTTCCTCGCCTTGTCTCGCTTCTCTTCCTTCCCCGTTCTCTCCTCCATCTCAGTGTTCTCCTTGCTCTGCTCCACTTGTTTCTCCTTGCTCCTGGATCTCCTGGGTTCATCCTGCTCGCTGCAGACCCTCCAGTGCTCCAAGTTCTGCTCCTTCAGGGAAGCCCTGCCCACCACACTGGCCCCTATTCCTAATTCTGGATGGGAGGGCTCTTTAAGTGAGCATTGTCCCACCATACTTGAAGCATTCATAATGGTTGTTAGCGGGTTCTCTGAGAAGTGGCCTGGACGGGGGTGGAGGTGGGCATGAGGGCGCCTCTTCTCCAATGCTGAGAGGACAGAAGGGAGTGGGGGGAGAATAGGCAGGTTGTGGAGTGCCCCGCCCTGCCGTACAGTCCTCTTTCTGACCATGATTCGGCGAGGCCAGGTAGATTCGATGCCGTCAGCGGGGCCTGTTGACTCAAGGTCTGCAAACCCTCTACTTAGGCGAGGGCTGACCACGCCTGGTCGGAGTCCTGTGGCTGTGCCAGGTCGAGTCCTAGAGCTGGACTTGGATAATTTGGACTTGTGAGACCTGGAACCTTTCTCTACATGGCTAGATTTAATTTTATCGATGTCCGAAGGCTTTTTCTCAACCTGATCTGCTGAGACAATATCAGTTTTTCCCCCAGCCACAATACTTATCTGGGCTTTATCTGTAGTAAAGTTGTTGCTGTTCTGAGTTTCACTGACAACCCCAGTCTCAGTGTTACTTTTAGTCTCTGTTTCATTACTAACAGCCTCAAGTACTTCCTCAGGCTCAGATGTAGGAGCAATCTTAACTTCTGTTTCAACTTGAGCTTCTACTCTAGACTCTGCTCCTGAACCAACCTCATTCTTAACTGTAGCTTCACCTCCAACTTCTGTTCCAGTCCTGTTCTCCACCTGCCTTGAACTGACTTTGGCCTCAACCCCTGCCTCTGGCTTCATCGCCGGACCAGGTTCATCTCCAATCTCAACTTTGTCACCAGGCTCAATCCTGTTCTCATTGTCATTCACAGTTGAAGGTATAGTCTCAGCAAAATGTTCTGGTTTAGCCACACCCCTTACATTTTTTTCTCCACTCCTTGTCCCTCCCCGGTGTCCCTCCTTGTTCAAAGCTGGAGCTATATTTTCTATGCCCATTCCAGACTGCACTTTTCCTTCGAGATCCCGTCCCCCTGGTTGTGTTTTCACCTGGGAACCCATTCTTGTTTCAGACCCATTTCTAATGCTAGCCCTGGACCCGTTGTCATATTTGTTCCAACTTTCAACTCTATGGTGTTCTTGTATTCCAGCCCTGATTTCAGCCTCTGACATGTTTCTAATTCCAACTTCACTTATTAACCTCGGCCCACACCCAGATCTGCTGTCAACTAACACCAAACCCACACTCCCATTGTCAAACTTTGAAACCATACCCCCACCTACACTTTCAGGGCCAACCTTAGATCCAGCTCTATTCCTACCCACAGCTCCCGTGCCCATTCTGGGAGCAGCATTGGGGGAGGGGGAGGGCTGGGGGAGCAACAGGGGTGTTGTGTCTAGAACCTGTTCGGACTCTAAAAACACGGAATCTCTGTCTGAACGCAGTGGAACTGGTCGACCATATCCAAAGGTCCCAAAAGTTGATGTTTCCCTCCTCTCCCTTTCTCTTGCCCTCTCTCTCTCCAGCCTCCCCCTCTCCCTCTCTCTTTCCCACTCACGCTGGGCCCACCCTCGCTCCATCTCCCTTTCTCTCTCCCTCTCCCATTCCCTTTCTCGCTCACTCCGGCCCCATCCTCCTCCTCTTTCCCTCATGTCCTGCTCAAGGTCATGAGCAGACAATTGGACCAGGGGGGCACGGTAGGGGGATCGTCTAAGCTCCTGGGGTGGTGACAGTCTGAGGCTCTGGGTTTGGGAATAATGCCTCGGCTGGGTGACGTGGGGAGGTGAACATCGCAAACTCTGTGACTGACTGGGGCGAGGTTTGGCAGGGGAGAAAAACACCGGAGTATGGTAACCTGAGGAGAGAGGTGAGCCTGAGAAGGGGGAAATGAGAGGGGAGGTAAGAGAGGAGGACTGGCCCCCAGGGGGAGGGTATTGCCCAGGGTTCAGATACCCTCCTCCTCTGTCCATCATTTCGTTTGTAGTAAGCTCCAGACATCCCAGGTGTTTCGGAGGTGTCAAGACTTTCCAGGAATGTCGGCCATCTCTGCTCTTTGTACTGTCTCCATGGTGTTGGTGATGGTGATGTTTCTTAGATGAGGAAGAGGACACTCCAGGTGCTGAGAATGATGACACAGAGGGAGAAACTGATCGGTTGAAACATCCTGGTGAATGGCAGCCGCCACCATCAACATCTTGAGCCCCAAGTTTCAGTGAATCATAGATGGCTCTTTCATCCAGTCGTCGAACAAATGAGGGGTTCGGAGTTAGAGAGCGGGGCTGCGGATCGAACATGTCAGCCGGAGACCTGCTAACCCTCAGGGAGCCGCTTGCAGAGTAGCTAAAACTCCCCTCACCTCCAATATCTCGCCTAATGGACCCTCCTGGGTGATGGTGATGGCTGTCAATCTGTTGATTGATGCACATGGTATCGTAAATGGATCGTTGGGGTACGTAGCCATCTCCGTATCCTCCTTCCAGTCCCCCAGCTCGGCCTCCCACTCCCCCATCCCCAGGTTTCTCCAGGCAGCAGGAGCTCTTCCTGAAACACCCGGGACGGCTAAGAGGCTTGCCCATGATTGGTCGGATGGCTGATGGTGGGAGGGGTTGGTGGGAGATGCGTCTGTAGTTTGAAGAGTGAATTGTGAATTTGGTAATTTCACTAATACTGAAAAAATGTGGTTGCAAAATAAATTTCAGAATGTGCAAGATGCATGGCAGTTGGCTTTGAGGGGGCCATGACAAAGTAAAAGAAATGGAAAAATATCAAATTCAAAATTTCTTCTGCTTTTTCTTTTATGGTAAAATACTGAGGCATATTCCATCCAAGTCAGGGCAATCTTGTGATCAAAGTATTGCAAATAACAATGGAAACAAGATAATGTCTAAATTGAAATATTCCAACCAGAAGTTGAAGAAAAACATGAAAATATATGACAAAATATGTCCAGTTTTTATGTCCACAGGGTAACTTCTTAGCTCATCTTCTCGCCCACTCTCTTCCAAGCATGGCTGCATTTGTATTTATTCTGGTTGTTTATTGTTCTGGCTGTCCTTTTAGGGCCAATTAAGTCTTTATCCAGTGGAGCATTAGTCAGTCAGACACAAAGCGACAGAAAGACTGAATACAGTGGATGGAGGATTGAATCCAGTCAAAGCTTCTCCTCTCATTCTGGCTGTTTGTTGATTTCCATCATTTGTCTGGAAAACAAAGCAAACAACAAAAGACAGCTTGAAGACAGTCTCTCCATGAATATTAATGTAAGTGTATGGTAGTATATACAGTATTAAGATATTAGTTAACAATCACTGATCTCATTGCATGGCCAATTGAAGGGGCAGGCACTCCACTAATTTTAAAAACAAAGCTCAGGTTGCAATTTACAAGAAGTATTACTCAACCATTGTATAATGTCCTCAAATCTGAGAAAGTAACCCTGATGATGTCATCAGAGTCATCTCAAAGTCTTGTTACAAACTTGAAATGGGGGGTTTGATCAAACAAGAAGTGTCTACAGAAAGACTGTATTAAGCTGCATTATGGGAAGCATAAGATTCAGTGTTTGAAGCCTGACCCATATTAGGGAATAAAAGTAGCAAACCATTTCCTCAGTCTATTGAGTACTATTGAGTTATTAGTACATTATATATCTAGTTATTAGCATTGAGTATCAGAATCTGTTATCATAAATAATGCAATCAGGTCAAACAGCACCAACCCAATGAACTCCATCCATTAGTGGGTTACCAATAATGCAGAGGGAGAAGCCTTGTGCTGGGACTAGTGGAGAACCATATGGGTTGTCAAAATTGTTTGTTTTAAACCTTTTTTGACTCAAAGGGCATTTACTTTTTGCAATTTGTAAGTGAAGCCATCACTTCAAAACAACGTCAGTACAACTGTATTCTATAAAACCCATTGTGTTTTTCTTCCAAGGACAGGCTGAACCCTGAGTGAGGAACTGTAGTCCGAGTTGGAATTTATTACATATCACTTATAAGGCAAGGCAATGAAAGATTAAAAAAACCTAAATGTTCTTTTTGGAGACATGTTTCCCCCCCTGAAACATGAGCTAAACATTAAGTTACTGAAGCCCTACTTAGATAATACATTTGGTTAAATGTAGAATAGTTCCTCAAGCTAAGACACAAAAGATAAAAGCCTTTAATGTACTTTATGTAAAACTTTATGTATTTGGGCTAAACACTGAGCCAAGTACTGAAGCCTTAGTTGCCAATCCCTTTCACCAACTGTATAAGAACTCACACCTTTGATCATCAGAGTTCTCACATCTAAATGGTAAAAAAGTCTTTACAGCCGAAGCAACAAATGTTACAAAATCTCAAATTTGCTTTATGTTTTTTATCCACAGGATGAGCTTAAAACCAAGCTAAATACTGAAGCCCTTGTTGGCCCTTTGGTCTTCTAGAAGTTATATCTAAGAAGATATAACATACCAACTGAAGTCGAAAGGGTTAGAAAAACTGTCCATAGTCAAAACAACAAACGATTAGAATAAAAAACCTCAAACAACTCAGCAAGCATTTTGAATTTGGAGAGATGAAAATGCGACAGCCTGCACCAAGCAGCCTTAAAGCCCCATGCAAATTTGGTGCCAAAAATACAGTCAAGGTGACGTCAATATTCCTTCAAAGCTGTTCCCTCCATCAATACGAGAAATCAGAAGCTGAATACTTCAACATGTCATAGTATGACATTGTGGCAATTTAGTTTGATGTTGCCATTCCTGCTTTGAATATATCAAACTGGTTAATCTACAGCAGCTAGCCCGCTAACTCCAGCTTTGTGGGAGATAACAACAATACTTAGTATGATGATTAGCGCTAAGCATTGGCTTACAGGAAGTTCCCCAACACCTCAAAAAAAGCAGAAGCATGGCCCCCCCCCCCCCCCCAACACACACTGGCAACCTTGTGACGACACTGACTAAATTCACCAGTTCAGAGGGGAATAAAAGTTGAGAGACAAATGAAAAATCATTTACTGGTTTAAAAACTCCATTAAGACTTCTTTTTGTCACATAAAGAAAAGAAGAGATTGACATTCACATATCGAAAAAACATCTTTAGAAGGCTTTCCGCCGTAGTCCTGAAGTATCCACACTGATATCCATCTCAAATATAGTATCAAAGAGTCAGAACTGTCTAATTTGCATATATGCCTTCCTCACAACTTAGTTAAGCTCCATCAAAGGAGCCTATTGATAGTTGAGAATCATTCCTGGTCTCTTTATCTCGCTCCATATCTTTTCAACGTCCCTTCGTTCTTAAGCATCCTCTCTCTCTCTCTCTCTCTCTCTCTCTCTCTCTCTCTCTCTCTCTCATCCCTCCCGCCCCCTCCCACCCTCTCTCCCCCCCCCCCCCGATCAATAGAAAAGCCAGAACCTTATCAACATGGTCACAGTCATTAAACGGCTTCAGTCAATCCAATCCGTCGATTTCAGTCCCATCCTGTTAGCGTCTTGTCATTCTGCCTCAAATCAGCGTCCTCATTTGTTTTTCTTACTGGCATCTCTCTGCCCCTGTCGTTTTTCTCTCTCTCTTTCTCTCTCTCTCTCTCTGCCGTTTTTTGCTTTTTTCTGATGCTTGTCTCCCTCTCTCCCCCCCTCTTTCTCTCCCCTCTCACTCTCACTCCCTCTCTCTGCTGTGAATCATGCCTTCTGTCAGAGGAAGGTTTTTTTGACAAGCGCTCTCTCTGCCAACCAACACACCAACGCAAACCCTCCTCCTCCTCCTCCTCTCCCTTTCACTCTCTCTCCCTTCTAGCTTTTCTTCTCCACAATTCAGCCTCCCTCCATCTCTTGCTCTTCTCCATCTATCTATCTATCTATCTCTCTCTCCTCCCATTTACACTCCACACAGCTTCGGGGCTTTAAGAGCTTTGGAGCTGTAAAGAGACCAACTTCTCCTCTCCAGCTGCTTCTCTTTTCTCTCTTTCTCCGTCTCATCCTTCACTCTTTATCCCTCTGTGTAGCTACCTTTCTATTCTTCTCTCTCCCCCATTCTCTCATTCCCTCCTGGATTTAGTTTGACCCGAGTGTGTTCACTTGGGAAATCATCACCATCCGACATTTTGGAAATTAGGTAACGAAGGAGAAGAGGAATGAAGGAAGGATCTATCTATCTATCCATGTTTTCAGTCTCCCACACACTTTTCTTTTCCATCCCTCTTGTAGCCCTTTCAGTTTGCCCTCTACCTCCTACTCTTCACCTCAGCGTTAATGCAACACGCATCACTGTGGAGGCGGCAGGGAGAGTGAGAGAGACAGAGAAATAGAGAGCAACAATGGGCACTCACATACAGTGCAGTGCAATTTATAAAGTATCGTCATCAGCAACATCATTTCACCATGTACGGCTGAGTGGAAGAACATGCTCTATTTTTATTCATTAAGAGATGTTAATGTGACGCAATGATCAGTAGTATCATAATGTATGTTTGTTTTATTTTTTGCTCCTGTACCAAACGCAGGCAGTGATGGTTTTTTTCCATTCGGTGCAAACAGAAGAGGAAGAATCAAATCAAATAAGTGCCACCTACAGAAAAAAAATTAAAAAAAATCCAAGGAAGAAGGTGTGCTGTCAACATTATTTAATTGTCAAGGCTGCACAGTCCTGTAATGTTGATCACAGAAGACGATATTTGGAAATTTCTAATCTGCATCTCAATCAGGAACTCAAAATTAGAGCCAAAACCAAACAGGATTAATGAGATAAAGCCTGTTTTTCCAGCGCTCTCAGTTTGCCCTCGACAAGATCGACAGCATCTTACAGAGCCGAGGTCCTAGTCTTCGATCCGGTTTTCATGACTGTAAAGTTATTGGGGGCTTTGTAAGAACTGTAACGGTGGCCCAAGCTTTCCATCGATGACTCTGGAGATATTAACAGTAAACTCAGAAACTCGCCTTCAAAAGCGCTAGCTCCTGCATTAGCTTGTTCGCCAGCTTGTTGGCTAAGCTCTACCTGGAATTTGTGTCTCTTTTATGCGACATGTCGTCGGACTGTCTCAAAAAGCAGTAATTAATACCCGTTACTGAAATTGTAAAGGTTTACGAGATACAATGCTTAGGTGTAGAAAATTAGCATAAAGGCACGTCAGCTTAACTAAAGCCTCTGTTCCATTCCAAACAGACACGAACATGACAGCATGGATGCATAGTAGTTCTGTATGAAGGCAAATCAATGTCAAAATCCCCAAGCACAAATGAGATCCACCCGCGAGCGTGTGTAGAGGGCCCAAATCGAGGTCGCCAATTACTTCTGCGAGCTCTTTCACATCACTCCGAGCAGAATATCTCCACTCGAGCGAGCAAAATTGAAGCCTGCGAGGAGAAAACCATGCTTTGAGCGCGAGGGGCGTCCTCTGGTGCACGACTTCTATCACTGCTCTTCTGCTCGCGAAGCTTTAACCTGCTCGCTCACAAGTGTTTTTTACTTTTTGACAGTAAGTGGGGGAACCCAGTCACCATTGTATCACTAAATTTAATTGGTTACAATCCTTGTCTTTGGATTGGCCGGATATCACTCTGACACCGACGCTAGGTGGAGGTATAGAGGTTGTTTTCAGATTGCACTACATCTCAGAGGTAAATATTGTACTGTACTGACACTACAAACATACGATGATCTTATATAATAGCATGCATTGCTGTAGATTAAACTTCTGCTCCTCAGCATGGTTTTCTCCTCGTGAGCTTCAATTTTGCTTGCTCGAGCAGAGATATTCTGTGCGGAGTGATGTCAAAGCGCTCGCAGAAGTAATTTCCGGGGCTCCTTGAGTTGCACGCGCAGGACCTCTACACACGAGCGTGGGTGTGTGGATCCCAATTGTGCTCGTGGATTTTGACATTGATTTGCCTTCATAGTTCTGTTTATACTGTCCGCTTGAAAGACGCGTTATATTCCTCACACTGACCCTTGCGGACCTTTGCATATACTCAGATGCAGAAAGTATAACTTTAGCTTAAACCTGAACCCTCCTCAAGCCGCCATCTTGAGAACGGGGATTTCTTAAATGTGGTTATTAAAGACATGTGACCAAGATATGCATATGGGACATTTTACAGTGGAAAAATCAATTCATCAGTACTATCTGAACATGTGTGATGTAGGCACTTTTTCTCAATCCCCTCGATTATAGCTGAAATTTAAAGTTCATTTCGGTCACTCAACAACCACAT